CACGGGTAAAGGCCTACTCGAACCAGAACCCTGACACGCCCCCGCCAAGCCCCTGACACGCCCCCACGGGTAAAGGCCTACTCGAACCAGAACCCTGACACGCCCCCGCCAAGCCCCTGACACGCCCCCAGGGGAAAGGCCTACTCGAACCAGAACCCTGACACACCCCCGCCACGCCCCCAGGCTAAAATCATACTCGAACCAGAACCCTGACACGCCCCTGCCAAGCCCCTAACACCCCGGTACACACTCGCCATTCCCCTTCCATGCCCGCACAGGCTCGATCCTTCGTCGTAACACACCCCTGACAGACCCCCATGGGTTTGACACAGCCTCGAAACACCCCCACCATACCCCCATAACCTTGAGACACCCCAGTGTGCTCGCATGAGCCTTTATACAGGCCCCTGAAATGCCCTCGTACATTCGGGTCACACCCTTGAAACATCCTGGTGTTTTCCTGTCATCCTCAGCGCATGCCGCCGAGCCTACCGTCATCCATGTGTGGGTTGACTATCCCCCTTCCATACCCTTATCTGTAACCCTCTGCCCAATGCTCCGCCACACCCCCTCCGCTCCACTCCGTGTGCGAGGAGAGCCGTCCAGTCACACTGCAGGGTGGTTTTTGTGCTGGAGAAACACATCCAGTAAATAAATAAATGGAGATATCATATCTCCTAGAACTGAAAGGCACCTTGAAAGGTCATCAAGTCCAGCCACCTGTCTTAACTAGGCAGAACCAAGTACTAATTTTCAGCCCATATCCCTAAGTGGTCCCCTCAAGGATTGAACTCACAACCCTGGGTCTAGCAGGTCTATGCTCAAACCACTGAGCTATCCCTGCCTCCAGTGAAGGACAAAGTGGTGACAATTGCCTTTATTTGATTTGTAATCTCAAACACATGACCATCCCACCATGTCCAAAACTAGCACGGACTGTTCATGCTATGTCTCTCATTGTAACTGCTGGCACCCGTTGCTCTAAAGTTGTTTGTCTTTACAAAGCACTTCCATCCAGACCATCTTCCACAGTATTTTATCTTCTCCCTGTAGAGCAGTATTCCCACGCAGGGAATGCTGTGCTGAAGCCCAGCAGCTGTTGACGAGTGCACAGCAACCTGGACCCAAATCTTATGTCGGGAGGCAAAAGTGAAGGAGAACTTCAGGAGGGAAAGTATTGTGCAGCACAAAAATAACTGAGGTAAAGCCAACAGCCGGGGTAAAATCAAATGCAACAGAAACACTGAATTAATGAGAAATGATAATGGAACTGTATCTAGACACTGTCTGCTTACAAATCATATACTTTAATAACATACAGAATTGTTTATAATCACTCCCTTTGAGGATATAAAACAAAGAAGTTTATAGGTTTTTTCCATTCTAGCAGCTTTGTTTGAGAATGAAACCAGACTCTTTTATACCTAGCAAGGAGACTTTGCGTTAGCTTCACTTTCTTCTGGTCATGCAGCACTTCTGCGGTGCAAGGTTTACCTTACAAATAGCCCCACCCCCCTGTACTAAACCCATAAAGCTGTTTGCATTGGAACTGAAATGAAGCCATAATTGGAGTATTACTGTTCAGCATAGATTTTGTAAAGATTCTGTCCACCCCAAATTAGAAATCTGGGCTTCTCGCAAACTGACTGTGTCCCTGTAACAGTGTCGTGAAGGGGGAAAATATATACATTAGGATGGTGGTGCACCTTGTTATGTCTTTATGATGTACAAAGGCAACCTTATAAATGTATTTAATTCATCAAGCATATGCTCCTTTGATTGTTTGTTTTAAGCTATTAGAAGTAGCAGAAACATTAAGTCTGGTCATCTCTGCTTTTGCTGAAGGACTTGCTGGGGTCTCAGAGAACAGTTTGCCAAGCTTTGTCAGCCTTCGGTGATGAAAGAGTGAATAATTAACAAAGAGAACTTTTCTTCTGTTTGTGGGACATTTGTGTTCAATAGGTTTAATAATAAAAATAAGAATAAGAATAATTAATCAGGTTTCAATTCCTCAGTATTGGTGATGTCCAAACCCTCCAAGTTCTCTGGTGGCCACAGTGTACACAAGACCTCACTTTCTAATGGAGAAATGAAGCAAGTGCATACTTCTTCCCCTGTCCCCCCAACCCAAGCGCCTTTTAAATATATCATAAAGAAATAAAAAAAGGGCACATATCCAATCTTTGCTTTCTTTTGCGGGTCACCTTTAAGACAAAATCCTCAACCAACTTGCGGCAGATGCGCCTTCAGATTGGTTCTGCTGTGTATGTGCCCTGAGAGTTTTTAGTTGTTTAAATAAATGCACAAAGCAAATAAGCATCTGACCTGGTATAAACAGTGTAACCGTACTGATAGCAATGGATTTGCACCCACTCATAGATCTGAAATTGACCATGTGCAGTGAAGTCCTCAAAGCATAAGCCCATCAAATAAACGCTGCAGCCTCTCCCTGCTGGAGTTTAGGAACTCCGCAGACCCCTGGCACTGACTGATAGTCATTTGCCCAAACCCTTTGATTATTGGAATGAATGTCATGTCCCCTGTTACATTTGTAGAACTGAGTTTGCCCTGCTTTATACAAAACAACTAGAGGCTTGTTCTATCATGGCAGACCAACCCTCCAAAATACCGGCACTGCAAAGCCGTGCATGGGTCTGTGAAACTGGAATACACTTTGCCAGATTGACTTCTGCAAAGATGGGACCAAGGCGGCTGTGACTAATGTGTATTTATACAAACTGGCTCCTTCCTGCTTAGAAGAAATATCCGTGCCCGGTCAGTTCCTTCCTGCCATCCTTCCTTAGAACAGATCGCTGGCCTTAAATCTATGCATGCTTGCCCATTGGGGCTGATCTAGGAGACAGTGATCTAGGAGACAGTCGTCATTCGTAACAGGCAAAGGCGTCTGGGTGTTGCAAGCAAATGAAGGGAGGAACATGCTGTACCAACCTGCCAGTACTGTGGGTTCACTTATTTCTAAAACAGAGGACAATGGAGACAGACACAGAGAGAACAGAAAGGGGAGGGGGGAGAAAATATATAGTTCATGTTTTCAGACAGTTGATGAAAGAATGATCATTAGAAAGGTGAGTGCACACTGATAATAATACGCATGCCGCTGACATGGTTACACAGAACAAGCAGGAAGTGTGGTTACCATCGGAGAAAATGACAGCGTCTCTCTCTATACATCCAGACTCACATTTGCTTGTCTACATTTGAAAGACAATTCGGATTAAGGGAGGCTGTGAATTTAAAGCACAGTAGCTATTCCTGAACAACTCTGTGCGTGGACGCTCTTATTTCAGAATAAGCAAGCTTTGTTCTGGTTTAGCTTAATCCAATTTGAAAATGGATTAAGCTACACAGGAACAAGGCAATCTTATTTCAGAATAAGTGTGTCCACACGTGGAGTTATTTGAGAATAGTTATTCTGGGATAACCCCATGTGTAGAGAAGCCCTCAGTGATGAGAGTCTACTGCAGAGGAAGCTATATACTATTCTGCCTTGGGTATCAGCACAAATATCAGCTAAGTACATGGGATCAGGATGAGTGGGGCTGAGGCATAGGGAGAGAACACTACTAGATTTTCAGATGTCAGGTGAGACTGGCAGGTGAACTCAACAGCCAGCAATCTGGGTGGGACTAGGAGACAATAAACATGGACCCCTCTGCTCTATGTTACATCGTTTTTGCAGAATTCAACCCCAGTTTTAAAGGAAGGCCGGGCCCGGCAGAGCAATGTTTCTGAACCCCGGCCCCGCTTACTGCTTTGTCACGAGAAAACGCTGAGCAGGTTGGCTGGCGAGGACTGTGACCATGGAGATGGCATTTTGGAGGCATGGACATGAAGATGGAAGCGGTTTAGTGAGGTGCAGAACTGAGATGGAGACCACTACAAAGGTATGGAAGGGTCTGCTTTCCCTTTCCAGGTGAGACAACTGGATTCATTTCCCAAGGCAGCGTAGTCTAGTGGAATGAGACTGGGACCCCGACTCAGTCACTGACTCCTACCCGCTTACACGTACTCACTGTGTGCCTCAGTTTACCTAGCTGTGAAATGCAGATGACAGTGCCTGCCTACTTCAGAGAGGTGCTGGGAGGATTCACTAGTGTTGTGCTTTGGAGACACGAGGCTTTAGATTAAATATCATTGGGGCAGGTGGGGGCGGAGGAATGAAGCACACTCATTGGTGAGGTGACATCACATTTTGCTCACAGAAAGAGAAAACGGCTCCCTTTAGTACTTGGCTGCTAGCAGTATACATCTGTGTGCGTTAGTGAATAAGCAGGGTCGGGTTCTTCTAAGCATAAGGGCCTCGTTTATTTGCAGCTTGGACATGAGGAGGAAGCATTGAATTAAATGGCCGGATTCCAATTCCTTGGGATGGTGGGTTCATTGCTGTGGTAACATCCCTTCTCTTGTTTTGCCTCACACCTCTCTGCAGGCGAGATTCAGATTCACTCTCTCCCAGAGGACCCAACACAGGCCTATGCCACTTATGCCCTGAAAGTAGGGCACCCATAGCCTTGGACTGGCACTTTGCGGGGAGCTGAATTCCACCCTTTGCGAGGCTCGGTGGTTATCCAGCTCCCTCCGTCAGTACCGGCAGCGTCTCCTCACAAAACACAGGCTCCTCCCCTCATACCTACCGTACAGGATTATACTGGCATTGCTGTTCCCCAGCTTGTTAGTGGCCACGCAGGTGTAGTTGCCGTAATCCTTCTCCGAGACATTGAAGAAGGTCAGCGTGGACATTCGACCTTTGTTCTCAATTCTCACGCCATCCAGCCCATTGGCTAATCTGCGGGGCGAGAAAGGCGAAGGGCTGGTCCCCCCAACGACAGGATCGATCAATTCCCACGCCCATGCAGTCCCACCAGCTATATCTAGGTTAGTGGGGAAAGCCCCGCCAGTCCCCAGATCAGGACCTCCCAGCTAGCTGTCACCACGACACTGGACTAGCTCCTCAGCTGGTCTAAAGCAGAGTGACTCTCCTCATTTTAACAGAGCTACGCCACTGCCCCAAAGTCTCCCCCTCCTCCTGAAGGTTCCCCGGTCCAGGATATTTTCTGCCAGGCTATTGAGAGGGTTCTTCCAGCTAAAGGGACCCCCGGACCAGGCCATCACTGAGGATTCGTCTCCACTGGAACAGGAGGTTTAATTTCCACCTGAGGTCGCCATACCCATGCTAGCTAGCTCGAGCCAGCCTGCTAACCACAGCAGTGTCACTGGGGCAGCACGGGGTGCTGGGATGGGCTAGGCGCCCAAGTATTTAGCCTGGGTTTCAGATGGGACTGTATTTGGCATGGTTACACCATCCCACTGAGCTGCAGAAATACTGCTATTTTTAGCGTGGTAGTTTGATCAGAGCTAGCAGGGGTATGTCTACCTGAGCGAAAATTCCACTTCCCGTTCCAGAGTAGACGTAGCCTGAGTCTCTATCTGACTTCCACATCGAGTCATTACGGTCCCAGCAGCTCACACCAGGTTAGCAATAGCACTCCCCTCCCCTCCCTTCTGAAACAGCCTCAGGGCAGACGTTCCTCCTGGTATGAGATTTGGGATCTGGATGTTTTAACTGCGGATCCCGATGCACCTCCCACAGGATCCTTTACTTAAAGAGATGTCTGCAGCAAGATCCCCCCTCCCCCAGATATATTAAAATGAAGTGTAATTCTCTCTCCTTCCCATGCTGACAGATGGCCATCCTGACCCAGGGAATTCAGCACTCCCCATCCTTGCCAAGAACGCAGCCTGGGATCTGCCAGGCCCTGGCAGCCTGTTCAGGTACCTGGTTTCTTCTTTAAACCACTGAAATTCTGCGACAGGGACGGCAGAGGCCTCGCAGCGCAAGATTCCCTTCTGGCCCACCGAGGCGCCGGTGTTCTTGGCGTTGGAGATGTACGGTGGGTCTGCAGAGCAAAGGGACGTTATTATACCAGACTGCAGCTGGGAGGGGCTCCGGATCACGAGCACAGGCTCGGCTCAGAGAGACGTGGGGAGCGGTGAGGGGCTGTGGAGCCGCGTCGTTATGAGGCTGGTTGGAACCCAGTCCAGGTTGTGCCCTCCTGGGATGGCAGGGTGTGGGGGGGCAAAGATCCACCCCCAGGAGAGGCAGCGTTAGGCACTGCCTTCGTATAAATAACACACAATTGGCTGCCATTGCTTGGCTCAGCATCTTTCCCCTTCCCTTCTCAACCCCCTCCCCCCCCGCGCCATCTCCTTTCTCTCCTCCCACCCTTCATCTGCCGCCTTTGGCCTGTGCTCTCCCCCATTTACCTCTGGAGCTGTCCTTTCCTACGTGGGGTGGGGACACAGAACCTTGAATTGTGTTGGGGCAGGGTGGGAATAGGGCTGGTAGCAAGAGGGAAAAGCCGTGTGGGAGCAGGGACAAAAGGAGCCACCCCTCCCTTCAGCCCAGCTGGCGGTGGGAGAGGTGGACCAGGAGCTAGCACAGCTTGGACAGCTGAGGTGGTGTGGCTGGCAGCAAGTAGGCCCCATCCAGCACAGTGTGACAGAGCCGGAGAAGAGCCTGGGACAATCCCAGTGCAACGTGGTCACCCCTCCCCACAAAAATGGCCAATATCTGGCCAACCTGGGACAGTCGAGAGGGTCGGCATGTAAAGGCTGTTCATCGGCCAGCACAAAATGAGATGTCCTAGCAGGGCAGAGGGCCACATAGTGACCTCCCCCACCATGACCAACACTCATTGGAGCCCGTGTGAGCAATCTCAGTAAAGAAGCCAAAGGCGGAACCGGCCAGGGAGACCAAAGTCTGCTCTCGCCCCCTCAACACTGGAGCACATTGGTAGGACAACGTAGATGAGACTTGGACCATTGCTACCCATGCCCCCTCTCTTGCTCTGGGGACAGAGAGAAAGATTCAGGCCCAGGGTAGCCAACTCAGCACTAGGTCATTCTGAAAAGTGTCAATTCAGATACACATGAAACCTCGGATCCTCCCCAGACCGCATGACTGTGGGAAACCCACATTTCACAAGGGAGATACCACATGCACAGGATGGAAACAAGGAGCCTGCAGAATGAGAAGAGATGCTCCATTGTAGGGTGCTGTCCCTGATGTCCCTAATCCTACCTTGGGATGCGGTTTGGATGAGTCCCCTAAATAGGGACGCTTTGAAGGCACAAGGCTCTACTGACTCATAGCCATGTAATTCAGACCCCGGAGTGGGCTTACTTTAAAGCTCTTCTAATCTGATTGGGAAAGTTCCCTGCATCTTTTAAACCCATTCTGCTGTGCCGAGAAATTTACAAACAGGCCAACACCTCTGTAGGACCTAGACAAAAAGCCTAGTTTGGAGAGATGAGCCAAAGCCAGAACAATGTATGCAAAGTCTTGCCTCTCCCCTGCCCCCGGAAGGGTCGCTATAAAGCGTAACCCTGAGCCAAACCAATCCTGGTTTTGCATGCTCAAAGAATAGACCGACTGCTCCAGTTTCACCCATCTCTGTTAAACCCACTTCTCCTTGTGTCAGGTGTGAAGAGGATTACAACAGTGGAACCCTGGTTGAAAAGAAAAGAGCACCAGGTAGCAGAGGAGTAGATGGAGCCCTTCATCCCTAAAATACTCAGGTTTTTTTAAGCTTCCCAGAGGCGCAAAAGAATCCGAGTCACCCCTGAAATGCCGACAAGCTTTGTCACTCCAGCTTTTCTGCCTTGGCACGTCATCTGAAGTCTTTAAATCGTCTGGGCTCTAAATTCCTAACCATGCTTCTAAAGAACAAATTGTCCTAAGTCGTAAATGCTTTAAGCTTAATGAAATGTATATATGTGATTTTCTTATAGCAATTTAGTGGATATAAAAACTCTACAAGCTCCTTCCTAAAGGGAAAGATATTTAATGTGCTCTGTGTGTGGTGAGCCACTAGAGATTTTTTTCCCCCTGAATTGCTCCTCAGGAAAAAGGTATTACCATTTATGTTTCAGCTATAAATAGTCTTTAAGGGATGCTGACGTAGATGTTATCTGCTTTACTTTTTTTCAGGAGTTGATGGTTATAGTTCAGCTGTTCTAACACACACGCAAACCCCAGCCAGCACTGGGATACTAGGATCTCAGCTCTGTATCCCCATCGTCTTGTGCCTTTCATCATCTCCTACACCCCTGCAAAGCGGTGAAGAATCAAGGCCCTCAGATCCCAACACCGGCGGGTACGGAAAGGAAAGTCACGCTTCGGGAGCACCCGTCCCCACTCGGGGTACGTCAGCACTCTGAGCCGGGGGCACAATTCCCAGCTGAAGGAGACATACCTGTACTAGCTCTGATCCAGCCAGCATGCTAAAAATAGGGTACAGCCATGTTGGTGGGAGTGGCAGGAGAGGCTAGCCACGCTGAGTACGTGCCTAGGATGGGATCATACTCCGGCAGCTAGCCCCTCCCACCATTCGGACTGCTGTGGCTACACTTTATTACTAGCATGCTAGTTCAATCGGAGCTGGTATGGGCACGTCTCCCCGAGCTGGGAATTTCACCTTCAGCTTGAAGTGTAGACGTTCCCTTCGAAAGCATGGCGATGGGGCATGGTATACAGAACAGAACAGAATAGGCAGTTGTGGAACTGTAAGCAGACTACATTACGGCCCCCGGTGTTCAGGCTGGGTAAAAGCCAAAAGGATCTCCGTGAAAAGCCCCCACAACTAGCCTGAGCCCGGTGTTGTCTGAAGCCAGGAGGCAGGGTCGGGGAGTGTGTCATGCTGAGTCGTGCCCTACTTACAGTTTACGGTGATTTTTACTCTCCGGATGTCTGGAGCCGCCACGTCATTGACAGCGCTGCACTCGTACTCCCCGGACTGATCCCGGGTGATCCCAGAGATCTCCAAGTACTCGTCTTCGCTCACAAAGCCCCGGCCTGCAAGGGAGAAGGCGCAAAGGGAAAGATCAACCCACCAGCCTGCCGCCTCCACTCCCGTTGGTCATTGGGAGTAAAATCCGATGGAATGGCGACCTACAGGCCTGATCCTGATTGGTTACATTGGGGGTAAATCTGAGGGTTTCAGGGGGGTTAACTCAGAATCAGACTCTGTGTAACACTAACAGGACCCCAGCAGCATATCAGGGTGCTGAATGAGCTGCCAGGGGCCAAAGAACAACTCCTCCAGGTTGCAGCAGCGCCAGGGCTCGGCTGGGGTCGCATTTGGGTTAGGCAGGGGAGCAGCCACAGTGCTTTGGGCTACAGCTATTCTGGGCCAGTGCATGGACTACAGGCAGCTCTGGGAAGGCTACAACTGCAGGAGCTGCTCAAATTTATCCTAGGGGACATGTTCCCAAAGCAGTGCAGAGTCAAAGCCAACCCCGTCCCCCTGGGCTGCGCCGTCCATGCCGCATACGTCATGAGCCGCAGCGCAGAATCTGTCCCCCGTTGTAAAATAATCCTAATCTGTTTTACTGACAATGCCACTGATTATTATACCTGAAATACATGCAAAGAGCTCCTCGGCTTGTTGCCATTTATGCGGTTTGCTCACTGTTCTGCATTTCAATCCGCTGGGGCAGAATATTAAACTGGTCAGTATCACTTCCCATGGTCATTCATCAGCACCCTGCTGTTGCGTTTGGGTTCCCAGTGTTGCACGGGGCAGGTGTCTCTCCCCCGTCAAAAACCCCACCATTTCCATTGTTTTGGGGGCTGCGGACTAAATTATTATTAACAAATGGTCTCTTGGCGAAAAAATGGGACTGGGAGTCAGGTCTCCTGGGTTCTATTCCCAGCTCTGCCATCCAGATATTGTGTTGGCCAGTCACATTCCGTGCCTCAGTCTCTCCACCTGTAAAATGGGAATAGTGATACTTCCCGGCCTCCCAGGGATGCTCAGAGGTTTAATTTGGGACGTCTGGAAAGGATGGCAAATATAAGAGCTTATTCTTGGCTGGCAGTGTGGGGATGTTTACAGGTCACTCTCCAAACAAGGAGAAGAGGATGTATTTCATTGCAGTGGCGACATGAGTTACCTGCAGCATTCCTAGCATGAAAATGTAGCACAGTATCATTACAACAAATTGCCAGAGAACAGCAAATGCCAGTCACTATGTGACAATTATCACTATTGTACTCCAGCCCTCTCTGTGGAAGCTAAAGGTTGCTGCTATATTCGTGTGGTTATTCTTATTACTCAGGGTCCCGTTGTGCAAGGTGCTGTACAAACACAGAGAAGTAGACAGGCCCTGCCCTGAAGCGCTTACAGGGTAAATACATTTTGGGTTATAACAGCTGCAGTGTTGCTACAAAGATCCTGAATTCTAGCCAGCAGGTCTCAGAGTTGAAGAGTATCTTTGCCAGTGACGTGGTCACTGAGAGACACAAGAGAATCAGACTGTGATGTCCCGACAGTGCAGTTCATGGCAGCATGTGAGCGTGACCAAATGGCATCCCCTATTGGTGCAGCTACGTGGGGCTCACACTACAAGTCAACATCAGGAGGTAACACCCCGATTAGCTCGGGGCTCTCTGCTCCCTCTCTCCTCCTCCCCACTCATTCTGTCTGCAGAGGTTGAATGGAGCAGCCGCTTCTTCCCTCTCCCCCAGCATCCCTCTCCCGCTGATCTAGAAGCAACAGCAACTCCTTGTCCATTTGCTCAATGATGTCCAGGCTGCTTTGCATCACATGCATCAGTTGTTCTGTTCACTCTGCCTAGACCAGGCAGGAGAAGCTCTTCTCAACCTACTGGAGCCAAGGAGAGCCATACGTTTCAAGAATCACTGTTCTAACGGCTGCTCTGCTCGGACAACGAGGATCTGAAGGCTGGATGTTGAAATGCTCCCTCTAATCCATCCTAGAGGGTGCCTCTAAATGTGGGGTCATCTCTATACACTGAATAAATACGCCATTAGGTGGTAAAAAACAATCCCCACATTGCAGTCTAATTTGTGAACAGTGAATTTTAAAGTTCATGGACACCAGGTTAGAACCAGACAAAGCTTCTCCACTAGGAGGGTGGTGAAGCACTGGAATGGGTTACCTAGGGAGGTGGTGGAATCTCCATCCTTAGAGGTTTTTAAGGCTCAGCTTGACAAAGCCCTGGCTGGGATAATTTAGGCGGGGATTGGTCCTGCTTTGAGCAGGGGGTTGGGCTAGATGACCTCCTGAGTCCCTTCCAACCCTGATATTCTATGATTCTATGATTCTCCATGTCTCTCTGCCAGGGCCCCCCAGGACTCAGTTGAAATACCCCCTGCTATCTCAGTCATAACACACGCACATGCACAGAGCTTTACCACTGCACTTCCTTCCTGACTTGCAGACCCCGACTGCTAATTCAGTTCCGGACCTTTTCAAAGCAGCTGTGTGAAATTGGTTGGTGAGGTAGGGAAAAATGTCTGCCAGAGACTGGGAGAAGAGTCTGCTGAAATAATAGGATATCCCCAAATACTGACCAAGCCTGTCCTAGTTTAACCAGTAAGGATCAAAGCATAAGAGATCACCGCACAATCATTTTCATATGCCGGAACATAAATATTAGTCGCAAAACCACACACAAGATTCACTGCCTTTACAGCTCCAGCACCCCTTGCTGACATTAACACCAGGAATACCAAGCGTTTCAAGCCAGGAAATAACAATATTGATTGCAAAACCCTCCTTGCTTGGAAGACAGAACCATCTCCTGAGAGGGAAACTCACAGAGCGTGGGTTCGGGAAGGTGTTGTGGGAAGACAAAAAATAATGATGGGGGGGGGAGATGAAGTGGATGAGTGACGACGACACTTTGTAAGTGAGTCTTCTTTGTAATGATCCCATAATCCTGGGGTCATTATGGACCCGGCCTATCCGCCCGGTGATCTCTATAAAAGATGATTGGAAGCGAAAGAAAATAGATTCGACGAGCCAGTGACAGAAATACATAAATAACCAAGGTGATTTCTTTCTGTGGAGAAGGGGCCTTGGGAAGAGATAAGCCCAGCTCGCTACATTAGAGAGATAAGGATCTACAAGGATACAAATGGGCGCGCTCAGACGGAGGCTGCGTGACAGACACGGGGCCATCAATCATGGAGTGGGGGGGTCGCGCCGGAGCCGGCCAGCGCGCACCGGGTCACGCGCCGTGCCCCCCGCGTCTGGCTGGATGACAAATATGCTGGGGGGGTCTCTCAGGGACAGGCTGAACTGGGATGTGCTGCTTGGTGCCTCACAGACTGACTGATGTGAAGCAGGGCCCCAGCCTCCCTTAGGATAAACAAAGGTCACTGGTGCCTAGCGCTGCTCATTGGTCTCCTTTCATCAGTACTGAATCCACTAGGCTCTAGCTGGTCTAACGCCTCCCTCCAGCTACCCTCTTCACTCCCATGCAGACACCTATTCAGGGGAGCTGACCTGAGACGTGCAAGTTTCTCTTCCTATCTCACCTAAGTGATGCCCTCTAAGGCATCTCCTTGAACCTCTTGAGGCCCTTCAGTAGGGGGGTCTCCGAGATGAAGCCTGACCCAGAAGCACGAAGGGAAAAGGGAAGCACAGAGCCTGCTGGCTGCAGCCTTCCCTTAGACCCTAAGAACGTCCATACTGGGTCAGACCAACGGTCCATATAGCTCGGTATCCTGTCTTCCGACAGTGGCCAGTCCCAGCAGTGTCAAAGCGAATGACCAGAACAGGGCAATCATCAAGCACAGAAGAGGGCAATTATCAAGCGATCCATCCCCTGCTGTCCAGGCCCAGCATCTGGCATTACTGGGGCCTCTTGCCCAGATACGCACTGTTCTGGAGAGCCCGGGTCACTGTCATCCTGAGTTTAGCACCAACAACAGCCTGCGCTTCCGCTGCTAGAGTACCTGATGCGATGTGGGAGGCAGGACTACAGAGGCCTAAAAGGGGGCACAATGGTGGAGAGAGACGCAGTGAAGTGAGGAGGGGAAGGCAGGGGTTATGGGGGGGGGGAGGAGGGGAAAGAGGGATATTGCGGGGGGAGCTCTCCAAGCTACCAGCCTTCTGCCCCCCGCCATTTGGGAATCTAATTGCAGCAATGGAGGAGCGGATTCCCCTCGCTAATTAAGTGCGGGGACGGGCACTGCAGTGCATTTCATCCCTGTCGGGCGCCGGAGACGCCACCACGCCGGAGTTAATGAAAAGTGTGATAAACCCACTGTTTCATTTCGCCTTAATTAATCCCAGTGATTGGATTGTGCTGAAGTCAGCCTGGTTTGGAGAAAGCGCCCCGGGGTCAGCATCCTGCTGGCTGGCGGAGCGAGGAGGCGGCTCTTTGTCTGGGATGTGGGACGAGCGCGAGCATCTCTGACTGCAGCAGATGTGACTGGGCTCTGCAGGGCTCCCCTCCCTCCTGCTCACTAACTCCCCCCCACAGCCTCCTGCTTCGGCCCAGGCGCACGGTAACCCTAAGGCCAATGTATGACTGTGATGGGAGCTGTTACTCTGGGGAGGAGGAGGAGATTCGGGCACACAACACGCATGACCCCGCCCTCCTTAGAAGAAACGTGGAGGTGAACAGTCACAGTCCGGGAGGGGACAGAGCCTTCCATTCTCATGGAGAACCCAGTGCAGGGGATCAAACTCAGGAGCTCCAGCCATGTGGCCTGGGGGGAGAGGAGAGAGACGATCTCTCCAGCCCTGTGGCAAGGGGTGGGGTGCGGAATGGGAAGGTCCCAGTAACTTATTTAGATTGCAGCTCTTTGCGTCAGGAACCACCTTTTTGTTCTGTTTGTACAGCACCTAGCACAACGGGGTCCTGGTCCGATACAAACGGTAATAGCAATGCATAAAATGCCCGGTAGGTTGAAAGCAACACCTTCAACTCCACCGGGCGGCAGCAGCAACGCAGATCCAGTAGGTGCTTTAAAAATGGGCATGTCCTTTACAGAGGGAGGTTCATATTCCATTAACTGAAGGGTGCCCCTAGAGCTTC